CCTGGGGCCGTATTCTGCCCACTTCCCCCACGGTACTGGGAGGCCCCCATCTTGTAATGGGACCGTGTATGAGGTAATGGCTGCCAGACCCCCTTGCACGGTGCCCGTCCACCTCTGCTTGCCCCTCCTTTGCGTGGAGGGTGGGGGACCACCAGCATCACCCCAGCTCTGCCTGCCCTGCAGCCCGGGGAGGGGATACAGGAAGGGAAAGGTGTGGTTTGGTGTGTAAGTTCCTTCACCGTGGTGTGGCAGAGGGTGCCCCTCCAGTGGCAGGGCTGGCAGGGCTCTCTCCAGGCAGGGGAAGAGGGTGTCAGCCCCCTCTGTGGGTCTGGGATGCTCTCTGCATCTGGGAGAAGTGAAGTGAGTATGGATGCAGAGGTGGGCACTGCCCCGGGGTGCCTGTGTCCTGTGGTCCTCACAGTGCCCATGCTGTCACTGTGAGCCGTTTGTATGTCCCCCCGCCTGTCCCTGGAAGGGACAGAGATCAGGAACACAGGGACACCTGGGTCCTCAAGGCAGTGCCTAGCATATAAAGTATCCGGGCTGGAAAGAGAGAAATTTGGGGGATTGGATGTCGATGCTGAGAGCCAGGAGGTGTCCAAGCCTGACCGGTGGGATGGTGGGCATGTGTCTGTCCAGGGTGGTGGATGTGTGCATCTGTCTGTCCGTACCTCTACAGGCACCTGCTAAAGCACCTCCATCCCTGGCTGGGGGAAGCTGCCAAGCACAGACAGAGGGGCTGCGGGGAGGGGCAGGCAGCCCCTAAAATGGTGGGGGTGGACTCCCAACACTGTCCTCAAACTTGGCTGCCACAGCAGGATTGAGAGAGGGGCAGGAGGTGGGGGCTCAGGGCAGAGGGGGAGATGGCAGAGACATTTGGGGTGTCAGATGGGCTCCCACAGCCCACGCCACGCACATTCCTGGAGCTCCTGTGAGCCCGGAGCCAGGGCGCCGGGTCCCCCACCCTAACAGAGAGCAGGGTCCTGCCCCTGTCCCCGGAGCAGCAGCAGCTCTCTGAAAAGCCATTAAGCTAAATTAAGCTAATGCAAATGAGAGTGGGAGGCTGATGAGGGCTCCCTCTGCGGGCATCCGCCGGCTGGCAGCGTGCGGGGCTGAGCCAGGCTGGGCAGCCTCTCCTGGGCTTTTTTTTGGGGGGGCGCAGCTATGGGTAGGTCCGCCTTAGCTGGGAGGGGGATCCCCGCAACCTGCTGTCCAGATATTTCTAGGTGGCACATCACCAACCCCCCTCATCACTGTCACAGCCCAGGGAATGGGGGACCTGGTTGGACCCAGAGCCCCCCGGGCGATGGGGACAGTCGACCTTCTTGCCCAGAGATTTCCCCCCCTCTGCGAGGAGGGTTTAGCCTTGGAGTCCCGCAGGATCTGCACCTTGCTGTCATCTTCTGCCCACACCGCTCAAAGGTGCAGTTACCCACAAACAGGAGATGCTTTTGGGGTGCTCTGCTCTGCTCCCACTCCCCAAGCCCCGACGCCCCCCACCATCCCTTGCCGTCACCCCAGCACCCAGCGTGCCAGCCTGGGGCCGGGAACGGGGCTGGCTGGCGCTGCCATGGCAGAAGGCCACGGTGCAAGGGACAGACGGGGGAGGCGGGGATGGGGATGGGGTCCCCCCTTGTTAACAGCGCCGGACCCTGTAGCCTTTTCAAGGCTCTGAATAGGGGGTGGTACGTCTCCTCCCCTGAATTTGGAGCCGGGGGGGTGCTGGCTCTGGTTTAACATGCTCAGACAGGGCTGGAAGTATGGGTGGGGGGAGAAACGCTACCCCAGATGGCAGCATGTGGGGGGTTTCTCCTATCGCCACATGCCCTTCCTCTCCCTCCCGCCCACCATTCACATGGTAATGAGGACAAATTGATGGAGAGACATCCATTGTGGTACCCTCCAGCCCGGCCCTTCTGCCGGCCACCCACCGGCATCCCCATCCATCACCACCCAGCCGGGACCCTGGTGGGACCCTCCCCGCACCCACCCGGGACTGGCACCCTGGGAGATGGGGCTGCTTCAGGTGCCCATGAGCAGTGGGGCAGCCCCCAGACTGCCCTGGCTCTCCTGGGGCTGAGTGACAAGGGGGAAGAGCCCCCCATAAGTTCTGCCTGTCAGCTGGACATCATTTTGTCCTCATCATCCTCGCCGTTGGGGCTATATGGGGCTAAGGGGGAGTTAACGGGGCTTCAGAAAGACCACAGAATCTTATTTATGGGTGTCCCCCCTTCTTCTTGCTGCCCTGGGGCCAGCTCAGAGCCAGCCCCCCCCGCTTTCCCTGCTTCCACCCCAAACCACCTCCTTGATACCCTGTAGCATCCTCCTAACGGGACAAGGAGCTGTTTCCCCATACTCACCGATACCTTAAAAACCTGGGCCTGGAGATGGGCTGCCCACAGCGCCGTGGGGTACCCCAAAGGGCACAGCTTCTCCCCATGCATCCACTGCCTCTGGCTCTCCACCCCGCGCCTGCAACGGCAGCCTGATTGAAATTTCACTCCATAAAGCGCTTCTCGAAGGCCTGACCCCGTGGCCCCCCCCGGGGACCAATTTGTCCTTCTCTGTAATAAGAACCTAATTAAATTAGCTCAGCCGCCTCGCAGAGCCCTTAAATTAGCCACGGTGATGAGGGCTCTCGCTGACAGCCTGCTGCCGAATTGCTCCGCACTCGCCATGCTGTGGGGTCCAAGGAAAGCCCCGGGGGGACCCCGCTCCCAGCCCCCCTGGGAAGACCAAGGCAGGGCAGCTTGGAGACGGGGCACGGGGTGCACGGAGGGGTGCGTGGGTGGCACAGGTAGGGGGAGGCTGTGTGGGGTGCTGGCTGGTGGTCTTCTGCTGGCACAGGGATGGGGTGGAGGGGGAACAGGGCTGGCGAGGGGCAAGGGGACAGGGGCGGCAGTGACTCGCACTAGGCTAAAGTGACGTTGAAAACCTGGTGTGTAGGGTAAGGGGTCCATCTTCTCCAGGAGCACTGGGTTAGCAGGTGTTGTGGTGATGGAGATGGTGGGGAAAGCTGTCCCAGCATGGCCAGGTGGGCCCAGACTGGGATGGAGAGGTGTCTCCAGCAGTCCCACGGTGGTGGTCCTTCTTATGTCCTGTCCCTCTTGCCCTAGTTTCCAGGTAGTCCTGGTGACATCTTAGTTCCATGTAGGCTGGGGCGCTTCTGCAGCCTCCCCACCACCCGTGGGAAACAGCCCACTTCCCCTGGGTACCAGGGAGTGAGGAAGGAGAGCTTGCCGTTACTGGTGGAGAGCATTGGGGTGTCCAAGTCTTGCTCCTAAAGAACAGCAAGATGACTTCTGTCCCTGCCTGCCCCATTTATGATGGACACTAAGCGTCCCCGATCCCTGCCTGCCCTCCTCACACCAGAGCTCGGAGCGCCCGCCTGGGAGACGATGGATTTATTGGGCCGTGTCCCCGACCAGGAAAGATACATCCAGTGAAGAGACAAAAATACACCTGTTGTTGGCCGCGCTTGCGCTCTCTCACTTCGCCCTGGACAACAATCACCATAAAAACTGTGCTTTAAAATAATCTTTAAATAATTTCTGCTTTTTTTTTTTTAAAAAAAAAAAGACAATTAGGGAAGAATATTGGGACCTAAAAGGCAGAAAAAATTAATTTTGACATTAGTGGGATGCACGCGCCCACGCTGCCTCCCATCTATGGTACATACAAAGAGCAGATAAATAAATAAAGACGCGTGATGCTGCAGGGGGGACACGGGTCACAGTCCCCCCCCTTCCTCCCCCAGCTCCCTCCCCTCCATTAATGTGGAGCCAGGGGAGGCTGAGGCTCTACCTAGGATTTTTGGGGGGGAGTGTACTGTGGCTGCAGCTCTGATGGGACAACCCCCCCCGCCCCCAAGGTCCCAGGAGGGGGTGAGCAGCAATGAGTTACCCTGAGGGTTTGGGGTGATGGGGAGGCCGGGGAGGTAAGGCCAGGCAGGGTCTGGAGCATGGGGAGTTTTTTAGCTTTGGGGTGGGGAAAAGCATGGCTTTGGGCTGAGCCAGCTCGGGGCAGGATGCCGGGAAAACAAGGGAGGGAGAACTTTCTCCCCAGCTGCTTTCCTTCTCCTGCTCCAGCAGGCTGGGGCTGCAGCCCTGGCTCTCCCCACCCCTGCTCCCACCCAGTGCATGCCCATGGCTGGCTGGCACTCGCACCCTCCTGCCCACCCACCTGCCTCCCAAGCCTCCTCTTGCCAGCCAGAGCCCCCCTGGGCTGTCACAGCGTCCCCACGGGCATGTCCAGCTGGGTGGCTACAGTGCTGGCTTTGGGCAGAGTTGGGGTCCTGGTCTCCAGTCTCTCGCTCCAGTGGCATCTGCGCCACCAAGCTACGGGTTTTGCACCATAGCCATGCCAACCCCTCCAGCCCTGCCCATTCCTGGCATACGGGGGCTGGTTTTGATGGCCCCCGGCACCTGCAGCCAGGCAAGGCACAGTCCCAGTACCTGGGTCACCCTCCTCCCAGCTGCCACCTCCCAGAGGTGGGAATGGCATCGCCCACCCTCCTGCCCCAGGGCTGCCTAGAAAATGGCCCTGGGTCCCTGCTCCCAAAGCCACCCCACCGGGTGCAGGTGGGCTGGGAGCCCCCGTGGGAGCAGCCTGTAGCCAGGGGCTCTCTCCTCTCCTCTCCCTGCTCCCCCTCATCTACCAGACCTCCATCGTTAGCTAATTCTGCACACGCACACGCACATCACACGCACACACACAAATAGCAGCATGTGGATCCAGCCAGGGGCACCCCCATGTTCCGGGGGGGGGACCCTTTGTGCCTCCCGCCCTGCCCCCAGGAACAGGGGGTGAGGAGGGGGCGGTGGGCATGGAAGGAGGCACACCGGGGAGCCCCAGTGCCTCCTAACTGGGAGGTGGCTGTGCCCCGAGCAGGCAGGGCTGGAGGCAGCTCCCCACGGGCACCCAGCTTTGGGAGGGG